ATGCTTCCGAATCGGTTATTATTATAGAGATATTATTTTCTTATATTTCACTATGTGTTATATTCACTATGATCAATCCAAAATTAAAAAAATATTTTCGTGATTGACATTTGACGAAATAATTCATAATAATAATCCTGATAATGCCACTTTATTACACGTGGAAAGTATATTGTACATATGTACATAGATACGAAAGAGCAGTAAGCTCGTTGGGAAGTTCGTTCTTTCCTCCTTGTTTCACTCAAATAGTGGTAAAATGTTTGTTTTTAGACGTGTTAAAATAAATACACCTTGACATAGAAAAGAAAAAAAGGTCTAATAGAAGTCAGTTTCCGTAGTAAGTATTCGTCTATTCTCATGAAAGAGAACATACTAATAATAATAATTTTTCTTTCATAAAATAAAGAATTAAAGCAGGTTATTTCTTTTTTAAATTCATGATATCAATTGTTTCTTAATCTAATATTCGCTAACCTAATTGTTCGATAATCTACATGACTACTTGAACGCCGGTTTTCAATTATACATATATACCTACAACCCTTTGTTTCATAATTATTTTCTTCAATTTAGAAATAGAATTGTGCCATTTCGGTTTAGCGATTACATAGTTTCTCAAACACAAATATTAACTGATACAGTATGACATATACTGAACAACAAAATTATTCCGAATATCAATTGTTCGAAAGATTTGTTTAAATCAATAAGATTTCATTAAAGATCGTAGTAGGTATGTATTTTGAGTTTTTTTCTGGGTGAGGTATGTATTATACACATGTATAGGGTGTCCCAAATAAAGTGTTACAAGAAGTGAGGTTTCTTTCAAATCAAACGGTGCAAGGGGGCTAATATTTAGAGTATAACAAATTTGGGGAATGGTTTCTTAGGGGGAAGTGTGCACCCAACCCCTCTGTTTTAAATGGTATAGCCTATTATCTACTTGTTTTTTTGTTTGGATAGCTGTTATCAAATATTGCAATGTTAGCCCACTTGCACCGGTTAATTTAAAAGAAACCTCTCTTCGTTATCTGTAGTAGTTTCGGAGAGAACAGTTTGTAACACTTTACGTGGGAGACCCTGTATAATATAAAAGCAAACGAAAATAGAATAATTATGTGCTTGAAGAAGTAGGTAAAGTAGTCGCTAAACATTGGAATTATTACGATGACTATGCGTTTCCAATTTTTCAAATAAAACAACAATGAGACGAGTACGTTTGAAACGCCTATTACGATACTACGAACATCCCGATATTGTTAAAATCTCGAAGTAGCACGCTATTATCTTTATTTGAAATATCTGCCCAGCTCTAATATAAACAGTTATTTTAAATTTATTTTTGAATATAATTGAATTATACGAATAATCGCTTTAAAGTAATTTTATTCAAACAATGGCCAGGTGTGATTTTAAGTAAGTCTTAGAATTGCGGATTTCTGTGCTTAATTTTAAGTACTTAGGAAGAAGGGTAGAAAAGGGGGAAAGGTGGCGGCGGCCACTATAAGGGTCGTGGTAGAGAAAAAGTCGGAAAGACCAAGCGTTGGAGGACAGCGAGCCGTGCTGTAGGAGAAGTATTTCGAAGCGGCGCGGCGGACGAAAAGAGCTTGAGGGACACCACAAGTGCTGGCTGCAAACGAGTCAATATTGTGACATATCTCGCCGTTGGTGGGCTCAAGGCAGCTGCCCCATTATGTCGAGAGATTATCTTTGGCTTCTATAATCGCCCTTACGTCGAACTGTGTCACCATCGGCGCGATCTGCCGGTAACGTTTATTGACATTGTCAAATCACGCCTCGAATGGTGATTTGTGATTATCCAGTTTCAATTTTGGGCGTGTTCTCCTTCGATGCAAGATTTATGAACGACTTATCAGTTTCGATCGTTATGAATGGATTATGATTATGATCAAAGCTGATATTAGGATCACCTATTTGTTAATTAGGATATTTGATGATTTTGTATGATTTTATGATTTCTTTCGCGATTGTGTAAGTTAGACTTTCTTCATCATTATTAGATTTGTGAAAAACTAAATGATGTATGTAATAAAAAAAAATCTGCTGATATTTTTTCAATACCTAAAAACTACTAATATGTTAACAAAAACATTTCATAGATGCGTAAGTAAAAAAATCCCGTCTGTTTAAATAATAGTACATATGTAGGTACATTGAAAATTGCAAAATTTTAATAAACTATTGTACACAGATTATATGATGTTTTTCTGTAACCGAAAGCTATACATCATAGCTATAGGTATTGACCAACAGTAAGACATAGGTTTAACAAACATAATAGAAATATCTTTATTATTCTGAAAAGGTAACTTATATTATGTAATCGGATTGCGAACAGTAGGTATGTATACGGAGTCATATACGTAATTTGATTGGGTGACAGGTATCTTTTTTTTCAAATATAAATGAAAGGAAAGAAAAACATTCATTGTGCGACAAAGCCTTTTTTCCACATATACATATGCTGTACATATTTCTTTTCCACGCGCAACGGCACTAAATATTGATATTACACAATCTTGTAATAGCTACTGGAGACAAGTGAAACATAAAGTATCACTGTTCTGAGTTATACCTGAAGGAAACACAGAATGCTGATAAGCCAGGGACATTTCATGAGGGTTATTGCATCATACTGAAATAGTTCGTTAAATTGTCTGTGGTTAGGTGCAATGTTTAGTACGCAAATGTTTAATTATCCATTATACTTCTTTAAACGTAATAAATGATGATGATCGATCTTAGTCATGTCCGAGGCAGTCCCAAGATTTTGGCCTTAAATCATTACTGCGGCGCAGTGATTTGTGAACTACCGCTCAAGTGCAGTTTATAATTGTTATACATTTGTAATTATGTATGATTTTGTCATGGTTATGTGGTTAAGTATTTGTAGCAATGGGTTTAACGCGTGCAATGAACGCAAGTCTATATTTACATATAAGAATATAGGTACGTATGTATGTACCTACTCTAAAAAAAGTTACCTTTGAAAGAAGGTTTATAGTTACTACGCAAGTTGTTATCTGTGTGAAAGACCTTAATTAACGATTAAAAGATCAATTGTGTACCTGTTGCAGGTACATTAGTTTATATAACAACATTAATAGATATTAATGAATATTCGTGTTTTAAGTATTTACGAACTTACCGTTTTTTTTTATTGCATTTTTTAACAGTTCGTGGTTTTCAGAATATATTCCCGTAGAAAAGTAAAAAATTCGAAGAAATATTCGACGTGGACACGTACGCTTCAAACTTTAAACGCATTTCGCTTAAAACTATACTTTTCATGGAGCTGGAAGTAATAATACTAAAATTAATTGTAATATTTACGTGATATTTTAAACGCGTATAAAACAAATGCTCCTCCAACGCTGGTAGGTAATAAAATCAACTAAAAATATGATTTTAGTTGATTCTATGATCTACTAAATATAATATTTTCCATCTTTCAACGACTGACATTTGGAAAATTTTCAGAGGATAATGTTGACTCTAGTACCAGCACTGAACCTAATCGCATTAAACAATAAAATATCATAATCATAATATTGAATACAGATCAACTCGTTATCCTGATATTATGTAGTTCCACCAACAGAGGATGTTTTCACACAGACTATCGTAGAACATGTGTTATATCTTTATAGGGAACATTTCGTTTATGTCTAAAATATATTGAGCAATACACTGAACACGCCACAAGAACATACCAAAACACTGTTTTGATTGAATTTATACTTCTCCACAAAAAATTTTCTCAAAAAACTACTACTTTTCGCACTTGAAAATGAGAATACCCCCTTAACGCAAACACTTATAATTGGAACGTCGATGTTTATGCAATTATAGTAAGCCGCACCGTAATAAAAGAAAACGTATTGTACATAACACGAAATAGCATACTCTTTTACTTTATTTTGATTTATGTATTGTAATAGACTTTCGTTAACTAATTAAAATTTTTATGCGTTAGTTTTTAAATGATACAAACTTGGTTAAACAACTATAATTTGGGTGTATTAAATACCCAATTGATATCGTTTTTAAAACTTTCTTAAAGAACAATCTGTTACTTAATGTAAAATTTTTAACGGAGAGTAAGGTTAAAACTTTAAGAAACGCAAGTTAAAGAAGTATACTTAATTTGCAAAATTAAAATGAAAATGGAATCTGAGCTGAAGTTTGTTTAGATATAGATATTTAGGGTCCAATTAAAGAGCATGTTCGTAATTAAATAAATGTAAAAGTGTAAAGAAAAAAGTATTAACAAAGTACGGACACTAAAAAATTATTGATATAGGAGTACATACTTGTGAACAATATTCAAAATAATTTTTTTCTTAAAATTCGATTTTACATATGTACCATGTAATATCAATACTTGAAATGATTAAATTTCTGATACGCTGAAGATAATACGATTTCCCACCAAGAGAGAAAACGTAATCAAACGCACAAACGTGGCGTTTCTTGCGTGCATACGTTTTCATTGGCAATGTCGATATTGTACATGTGTATATAACGAAGATATATTCTCATAATAGGAGTAAAATGCGACAAGCGCAAAAAATGTTGTCCATTTCGTAACTTTTATACGAGGATTTGCGTCCACGGGGGCGTGAGAGCCGCCTTTACGCACTTTTTTATCGGCTGCGATATCTCTGGCTGGTGGGACGTAGGTCAGACGCCATTACGTACGTTGAGTGGTGAAACGAGCGCTGGTTGGCTAAGCGACGCTGGTGGTGGGGGAATGGCCGGGCTGTAGGCGGACGCAACGTCAGGGAGCGTCGCACCCTTCGTAATCACAGACGAGCAAGCAGTCGTCGGTACAACATCGTCAACATCCAGAGACTCATTACTGGTCATTATCGTTCATCAGTATCTTTTCGTGAACCCGTCAAAGACGGACGAGGCCCCACGTTCTTCGCGGTGCCCTTTGATTTTCGTGATTTCACCCCAACAGTGGTGTTTCGTGTCCAGGGAGCATCGATCATTTGGTGACAGTGACAAGAAAGACTTTATTAAGACACGTAGCTGTGGGACAAATTGTTTCGAAGGTTCATTGGTACGTCTACCATGGGAGAAGGACGTTCGCCGATCTATTGAAAGTTTGGGCGTCAATCTTTCAAAAGCGTTGTCCAAGTGTCTCTATATGCTGGTGACCAACGTCCCCCGCTGTACTCGCGTTCCAGGACTTTAAATTAATTATTAAGAGTTGACTGTGACCGTGCACGGAATCTATCATCTTCATGACAGACATTAGCAGCATAGGTATGGTTTCTTATTATAATCCTCTCGCGATGTACCGGCAGCAACAGCAGTCAGCCGGTCAGCAATCGCTGGTACAGCAAGTCCAGCAACACAGTCAGGCGCAACAGGCTCAACAACATGCGGCCACAACGCCTCTCGACGGTGGCCAACAATATTGGTACGGGTATCCTCACGGACATCCGCACGCGGCTCATCATCATCAACCTGCTGGTCCGCAACAGTATTTGGATCATGCGGAAGTTTTGCCCGGTTGGCCTCATCCTCACGCCCATCATTACTCGCATCTTCAGTATCAACATCAGGCCTATCAACATCAGCAACAGCCACAACCACCCCCGATAACCGGAGTGACAGATTGGAGCAGCGACGATGGGAATACTGCAGTGGGAACCGGTGAACCTAGTCCCATCACAGTCAGCGGAAGCGAGATCAGCAATCCTGGAACCCCGTCCACTCCACCTGCTAATAACAACAATACTATCACAACGAATAACAACAACACAACACCCATGAGACCGACACAAATGAGGAGCCCTTACGAGTGGATGAAAAAAACGTCGTACCAGAGTCAACCGAATCCAGGTTAGTGTAGCTTTTTTCGTATTAATATTTTTTATTTATTACACTCGTTGGCTAGAACGATGTTGCGATTGTTACGAGTACTTGCTTGTTAGACATAAGGAGGAGAATTGATTTGGCATTAAGTTAACGAATATTAAAAATAAGAAAGGGAGGATAGAGGAATTGAGGATTGAAAGATTTGGATAAGGGACTTCCTGCATGATGTTATTCTATGATAGTTTTACTGTTCAGGTTTATATTTTATTTCTTTACGGAATAGGAGGATAGGTAGACCCTTTTTGTTTTAAGGGTTGATAAAACTCATTTCGAAGCCAAGTATTACAGAGATTTGTCTGATAATTTTTGTCGTCCAATAGGTACATACATATGCATGTATAGAAAAAATACGAAAAACGTGAAATTGTGGATGATGTTAAATTAATTTTTCTTGCGGATAGTATAGTTCAATAAGCAATGTCGATGCCAATATAAAGTTATATACAAACTATATGGTTTGTATAATACGTATATCCTTTAATCGAAATAGATGTCTTGATGCTCATGATTGAACGTGTACATATTGGTGACTAAAATAGAATAGATTTTGCGAATTAATCGATTTTTCATGTAATCACCGTCTCCAGTAAGAGACACTATTTTATCGTCGTTAAATGAAACGAAGTACATAGTTTATTATCTATTATATTCTTGTTTTGGTAACGCTTTAATTCATCTACTGGTACCACACTTTTTCTGTCCCTTACTTAGTCCGTAGCTGATTAAATACGAATTCGTTTGTTCCCTCTGATGTACATATATTTGCTAGAGGCGGGCTGGTTCTTTAATTGGGAAAAATTAAATTTATAATAATTCATATTTTACGTAGATTTAATTATAACCTCGGAACCTTCTCTTCAGCACTGTTTAATATTTATAATTCACTATCTATCCACGAAACTTTTTTAACTTTTACGTGCGAAATTTTTTGTGATCGTATTATAAATCCAGACAGAAAGTTACACGTCGACTAATTAGTTTTCGGGATGCATTTGATCGCCTGTCGTGTTTCATATCCAGTTTACCGCTTTACAGATATGAAAATGTTTGAATACATGTATATAGAAATTCATCTACTAGTGAATTTGAGAAAGACATGAGGGAGGATAGATAATGCGGTTTTACGCAGTTATTTCGTAAAATCGAAATATGTACCATTTCGGTTGCGTTATTTCAGGTGACAGTGTGTTGTTCTGTAGGTTTTTAGTTATATCGAGTACAATTATGTAAGTAAAGTTTCTAGTGGAAACAATTTGGGTTTTGCACTCGCACTTTTCGATTTCTACCCCCGGTCCATGTCGACTTGGTCCCGCTACGACGGAATTCTATTCTAATTACGCGCATTAAACTAATCAACGACACGCTTGATCGATGAGTTGAATTAAAAGGTTTCTTGGTAATACCGATAAGATTTCCCCCTCAATTATGCCAGAAAATGTAGGATCATCATCCTTCTATTATTTATCCGCGAGCGAAAACGCACTTTCCATTCATGATCGTAATAAAGCAACGCGTGAAATGTACAAGCATTTACATAGCTTTGCTGATGAACGCTGATTGTCATCGAATTCCACTGCTCGTACGGAATTACGGGATCAGGACGTTGGTCCTGTGTATATACCAACATACATACTATATTTACAACGTCAAATATGGCTATCCTTGTATACATACATATATGTATAGGTATCTACTACCTCAGCCGCTACAGTTGATCATAAGAGTGCTCGGTCAGTCCATGAAACTGAAGGTTCATTGACTCATTTCTCATATTTTTGCACGTACGCATTAAGCACTTAGAAATGGTGATGTTTATGTGTTATTATTAATTATTAATTAACGTATTCTACGAAATTTTCGTTTTTAAAATATTGGACGTGCATAGTTTTGATAAAGGTCCACTCTGATTTTCATGAAACTTTGTAAAATCGCCTCAAATACTCCTAAATGACCATATGTAAAAGATTTTCGGCGCAATTGAAAATTAACTGAGGCAATTCTAAAATGATAAATATATTTTTATATAAATATTAAATCCGCGAAGTGCCGTAACACCTAGAAAAACCCACTTACATTGCAGCTGAAGTGGCGACATAAGTAGGTATCATCTACATACGTACAACGTCTCGTGGTACAAAAGTAATTTTTTCTAAAACTGGCCCAAACCAATTATTATATGTGACCGATCCATATAATGCAATAAAAAATACGCTTTAGCGGACTGCAGGGGGAGTGGCTTCGCCTAAACTAATAATGAATAATTACCCCATTATTTTAGCATTATTTCCGTTCATTTCTAAATGCGCCAAAGAACCTTTTACACATGTTGATTTGGAAGTACATACTTGAGATAATTTTACCGAATTTCGTAAAAATCCGAGAATGGACTTTTTTGGAACCGCAGCCAAAGTATTTTTAAAAATAATTGAGATATTGAAGTCAAGGGAACTGCAAAGTATTTACCAATTAATGAGAATTTGTATTTCATTAAGTTTTTCAATAGATAAAGTAAACAATTATTTCTGTTATCAACTATATGCGGAATAATTTTTATATTTTTATTTCATTACTACAGTTTTAGATATTGTTTTAAAAGTATAGATTTGGTTTCGATATATCGTATCTTGTGTAACGGACCGTACAATTAGACATGAATTGACATTTCTTCATTGAAGACTGTCGGCGAATCGCGCCTGTTTGTTTACAATCGATCATTATCATTGAGTTCTACAATGTTACGATTCATTATTTCTATCGTGTTGACAAGTCGCAGATTCTTATAAATCGTTACTAGTTTAAAATAGATGTACGCAGAATATAATTCAGGTTATGTATCTTTCACTTTTAAGTTAAACTATAGTCTTTGATTTTCTGTGCGTTTCGCAGTGAGTTCTGTAACAGCTTCCAAAACCGTTTGGTCGTGGAACCATTTTGACTAATTAATATTTTCTGGGGACCATTTTGTCGGTCGTAAATCAAATACATAGGTGATTATTTGATATGTTCATTCCTTTTTTAAATAAATAATATTTACACAACATATTTAATTCTTTTGATACCGCGAGATATTATTGAACTGTGCAGAGCTGAATACGAATAATACACGAACGTTGGCCTGATTTTATAATTTCCATTGATTTAATAACATGTCGTTTTAAAAATTAATTACGCAGCACTTTTTCCATATAAGTATTGCTAGAATTTCTTATGATAAAAATTTGGAGAGCATATGAAATCCGAGCACCGCTTAATTCGATTAAAAATATCGTAGAAGAAACGCGTATTTAAGAAACGACTGTGGAGGAATGGCGTACACCGTGCTCGACTATAAACGCGTCTCTGCGGTCTAGATACGGTGAACAATGTAAACACGGTAACAGACGAGCAAACATCTAATTGCTCTCAAATATTTGTAAGATAATCTCCGTCCCCTTGCTGTCGTCTCGATTTTCAGTCAGCCCAACCGAGCCCAGAACGTTAGACTAACTTTGAAAGAAAATGATTCTCCAATCGCGAATGGCGCAGATATTCTATTAACGCACGACAAACTTATTCAGTAACTGATGATAGGACTCTAAACTCTAAAGGAACGTCCTGTAGTACGTATAGTGATTTTGAAGAAGTATGAATAATATTGAGTCGTTTTTGAGTCGTGACTTTGACTATATGTAACTAGGAAAAATGTACTTTTCTCGAAAAATTGTATAACAAACAGGTCAAATACCAAAAAGAATCATTTGCAGGTAACCCACGTCGATAGAGTAATTTGGAAGTTATTTTCATTTATTAATTGTAAACAATATATTTAGATGTCAATTTAAAAAAATATAAATTACTCATAGGCACGTCGTATTTCTTTTATCTTATTTTCTTGTTTTGTAGATTATACCTTCTTTTAATTTATCCTCAAGGCAATGAGGTACTACAAGTATCATTGTCACATGTTAATGCTTCGAATTTGTTTTGTATAGACGTATATAGGCATAGTTCGGTAGGACCCAAACCAATGAACTCCGTAAGAGCAAAAGAAGAAAAAAATCGATCCGAACATAAGTATTAACTTTTATTGTAGGATTAATGCTATGTCATAGGAACATACATTAACTTGTTTGAAATGAGGGCTTTTGAAATGTAAGATAGAGTACATACTACATACATGAGAGTGAATGTATTTCAAAAATGTTCTACAAATGGAATTATATACATATGTATAACGCACCGAAGTTGTAATCGACTCGCTTAAATGTAAAACTGGGAAATGGAATTGCGATTTATGACTGAATCCAGTAAATTCTATTATTTGTTAATTTAAATCCTACAAATTGGCTATCGTTGGTTTAAAGGCTTTTAGTGAGTATACATATACTGTGGTATACGTGTTTCCTGATTTACGTAGGTTTTGATGGTTCCATTAACGTTTTCACCTTGTGCTAATTCCTTGCGTACATTTCACAGTTTGATCTTCGTATTAGTATTTGTACATTACAAAAGATTTATTGCCTGGACATAAATGTAATGGACAACTCACGCAATTCTTGAGGGAATGTTAGCCACCCTACAGAAGGAACGAGGGAACAGTTGATCTCGCAGCTTGCTGGTACATATACAACATGTACATATGTGTTATGAAATCATGTAGATTGTTGATATTAGGATTTTCTATAGTTTCACTAAATTAAGGAAATGTGTCGACGAGTTTTGCATCTATACTATACTAATAACAATATAATTTATAATTTCATAGCTCGGATAAAAATGAAAGTTTTAGCAAAAGATAAAATGAAATACACAAGTGCATAAAAAGTATAACAGAAACTGCAAGAAATGAAAACAGAAAAATGATTCTGTAAGTGTAGATTTCGAAAAGGGATGAGTGGAAAAACATGTTTATTGTCACAAAATCTAATCTTCACTTCCGATAAAAGTATCACGGGATGCGTTATAAAATCTTCTATTTGAAAAAT